CATTCTCTGACAATAGCAGCTGGTGCCCATTTTCCTACTAAGTGATTCACATTTTACCACTTTACTAGAGTGCAATTAGCTGAAGCAGAAAAAATGCTCAGTGTAAAGCAGCTCGGCTGAAATTGTTACTCAGCTCTTTAACAGGATCTGGTGAATGTCTTGAGGTGTTGTCACGGGTGTCGGTGCAAGAAGCAATGTTTTGGTTTCTTCACACACAAATGTTTTTTTTTCTCTGTTACAGTCAGGGAAACCGATTATAGGAATTTACTGGAACACACTGACTCTTTTTTTGTCTGCTGATTTTAGTATAGACCTGCAAAATGATACTGAAAGTTAGCACAGTATTTAGAAGGAAATGTGGTATTTATAGTCAAAGCGAGGATCTGGTTTCTATTCCTGACTGCTACAGACTTACTGTGCCACTTAGACAAAGAGATTCTTTAATGCATTGGCTTTCACAGTTAAAGTCTGAGGATAGCAAGACCTTTTTGGTAGACATCCATGTGAGGAAGGTATTGGAGGAAAATCAGATCGGTGGTACTGTTAGCATGAAAAGTACCTAGGTGTGCATAATAACACCTACCTTGCTGATGTTCCCATGTAGTAGCTGTCATTACAAATGTCAGCTGCTAACAACATATTCTGATATTTATGGAAGTAGGGCAATTCTCTCCCCAAGAAAAGAAAATACTTTATGTGCAGGTAAAAGTGGACTTTAGTGTTGGTCTGCAGTAAAAATGGTCACTTTAATTATTGTAGCTAATTATTACTGCCACTGATACCACCAGTGCGGCTCTGAAATAGTGAATGATGCTATAAGCAGAGCTTTTTCTTCTTGAAAAACAAACGTGAAATCTGTTAATGGATTATGAGGTATTGGCATGTTGTTTTGACCTCCTTTGGGTATTGGTAATAAGAGTGATGAGGGAAAAATAACTTTGTGAACAGTTAAATATATAGATGGAATATAAAGAGCTCCCAGTAGCTGGAATGAGGCTTGCTTTCTTAAGGCTATATACTGTAATCAGATGCAGTTAATTTTTGCATTCCACTTGTATATTGATACTGATTTAGCGAGTGTCAGCACTGTCAATATCATTAGTAATGTGGCAGGTAGATGGAAATATGAATGTGATTGCATTAATAAATTCTTAATATATTCAGCCTTTCATAAGGACATAGCATTACAATTTATTCGCTATTGTTTAAGACCATTTTAAAGACAAAGTTGCCTATTGCAGTGCTCTGTCATTGTTTCTTTCTCCTAGCAGATCCTGGCTGCATGTCTTTCTTAAATGAAGAAGTTTTGAAGTAAATTTAGCGTAGACATGAAGAGTTAATGCCATGTATTGCATATTGGCCATGGCTTGCAGCCCCCTATGTATTTTCTCTTGTATTTGGCCATGGAAATGCTTCTAGAGCCTGTTGTTGTTTTTCCTGAGTGTGCTGAAAGGAATGTTTACCTGAGATTTCCCACTTGTTAGAAAACTTATTTCAGAACAGCCCACCACAAATGGAACTGCCATTTATTTGACTTAAAATCTAGTAAAGAAAAAAAAAACACAACCCCATCAAGGCTTTAAAATAAATACTGTACGTTTTTATATGACACATGTTATTTCTATTCATAAACCTTAACTAAATTTAGATTTTTATTAATCCAATGTGACCTAAAAATTTTGCATTAACAGCACAATGTGGAATTGGGCTTATTCTCTTTGAATGCAGATAAAGCCATCATCTTGAAAATAGCTCTTTCTGACAAAAAGGTGTTCTTTTGAAATAAAGTCTTATTCACTACATTCCTCTTAGAGTTAATGTGAATTTTAGTGCCTCTAATTTTAGATTGAAGTGAGGTCTAGAATAAAACCCACTGGCTGACAATTGAATTTATAGATAGTTGTGAATATTTCAGGCTTGAATAATAGAGCTGTAGAATTTCAGGCACAGAGAGGAAGAGAGAATTAAACTCCAACTGTAGTTTTACACTATAATGCAATGGTGTCTAGGAATTCTTCAGTGTAACGAGCTAAGTAGTAATTAGGAGGGAACTGAGGGAGGGATTTTACAGAGATCTAGCTTAGGCATTATTCCAAATGTTCAGCATGATAATTTGATGGTGGTCACACCTGCCATCCATTTTACATGGCTCTTGAATTACTTTTGTTCAGAAGTGGTGCAGGAAGGAAGGAGTGAAAGCCGTAGGTGTCTGTTGCCCACCCACAGCCTGTACCCAGCCTTGTCTGTGTTTCACCTTGTGGGGATTGAGAAGGTTTCTGTTCTCAGAGTCAGGCGCTGTTGTTTTCGCTTTTCTCTGGAATAGTTAATATTTTAACCGTGTTTACGCTTTGCCAGTGGGCACCAATCTGGTCTGTCCTGTTGAAGCTGGAGCCAAAAGGAGTTGTGCCTTGGTTAGTATCAGAACCAGACTGTCTTTAGCACAGGCAGCACCGGTGATCAGATTTTAGTGCATTGTGGTTCAGACTGCTTGGAGTGGGAAATTGCTGCTTCTGTACTGGCCAAAACAACATGCAGTTGAGCAGCTAATTAATTACAAATGGTTGGGGTTTTTTTCAGGAATGGTGACATTCGGGCTCATTAATGCACAAATTAGATTTAAAAAATTGCCAATGGAAGTTTCATACAAGAACGTGCCATCAAGCCGGTTATGATGGACTGTAGGCAGTGACTCCTAGTGCTGTATTTTGAGACTTTACATGTGGAGTCTTGGCAGAAGGGAGGTGAAAAAAGAACTGAGTACATGTTTAGTCAATAAAAAGATCTTAGTGTGTAGAAAAATAATATAAAAAAAATCAGTTGGTAAAATGTGGAAGTTAATTGATAATCTTAATCACAGCTGTATAAAATTCAGTGTCAATGCAAGGGGAGAGAGAGACAGAGAGACACCATGTTTTAGTACCCTAATAACTTCTAACTCTAGTCTAAGATCGTAATGTATGTGAGAGCGGCCCAGTAATTATAAGGTAATAAGTGGAGTGGTGGTGTAAGTGCTCTAAATTAAAAGGAATTCGCAGAGCTGCTGTAAGTCAGAGCCGACCCGCTTTCTTTCAAACGTTGACTTGAGAAAAGTGCTTAGCCCAGAGTGCAAGTAGAAAGACAAGAGAGAGCTATCTATTAATTACAGCACTCATTAACAGTGACGGCTACAAGGCAGCAGATGCAGAAGAAAAGGCACACGCTACTGCAGGCTGGCAAGGGGATTTCCCCCCCTCCAGTTCTTGAGGAAAGGACAACACAAGCAGGTGGTCCGCTGTAATAAGATATTTTCACGGCTTTAACCTTCCCATTTCCTTGGTTTATTTGCTGACACCAGATAGCTTGCTCCTTCCACCTCCCCAAATAAGCCCTGATTTTAAGTTTTGATGGTAACATTTCTGTACATCAATTTGGCTGTTTTCCAAATATATATGTTAGTTGTTTTCAGTAGAATTTTACAGTAAAAATCAAAACAATTGAGAAGTCAAAATAAAATCCATGAACACTGATTTTAGGGTGAATTTCATCTTAAACACTTGTCTTTAATGATGGGTCAGGCTCTTAACTCCATTACCCCCCCATTGGGAAGGAAGCCAACTCTTTTGATTTATGTCTTTTTTTCATTGGTGAATTTGATTCCAGATATTAAAGTAGAAATTGATGAAAATTTTTTTATTCTTAAATAAAAAGAAGTGGACAAATGAAGACAAGATCTCATTTTACTTCAAATTCTCAAAATTACTTCAGAAAATTATGTCAGTCAAATTTCTGGACTTACATATTTGCTTGAAAACACAAATCCATAGCTCCAGGTGGTCTTATAGGATAGTTGTTTTTCTGCAGTTAGTGTTTTTAAAGAAGTGTTCATAACTATGATCTGACTTTGGCAGCTTCTGAGAGTACTGTCCAGAAAATGCTAGATAGGCCATTTGCTACTGTGGTCTCATAATCACAGCTGGAGAAAACAAAAATAATATCTAAATCAGAGCTTTCTAATTATTATTTTTGTCCTTTGTTCACCCCAAAATGTGTTAATAGTAAAAAACTTGGGGATGGAAATAGACAAAGATTTCTCCTCCCAGTCCTCCCTGTAGAAAGCACTATTTTGTTGGATCAGATATTGTGTAGTTTTATTTCAGATGCTTAATTCTGAAACTGAGAACTGAGAAGAAAAAAAATCTCACTTTCTGAAAGACAAAACTTACATGTAAAATTTCCTCTAATATATGTTTTTAATCCAAGAATGGAGCACATGAAATGTCAGATCCTATACAGCTGTAGATATATGGGATAGTGCTGTAGTTATTACTGGTTAGTCTGAGGATAATGGCTAGAAAGTAATTGCAGCCACAGCTGATGAATCATTTCACTTAGATTTTGTGAAAATGGAGTTCAGCTGTAATTATTTCTTAGAGTACCCCGTTGATGTGCTACTTTGTTACTAAATAGCTGTATCTATAATAAAGCAATATTAATGAAGAAAAAAATATTGCAAGGGACTTGCTCTTCAGTTCTTGAATCGGATCAATAGATAATGGATATGTGTTTTAGCTAAGTGTATTGACAAATATTAATTAAAGAGCAGAGTATTTATGTGATCAAACTTGAAAATATTTGTTTCTGATAATGGTGGAATTTACAGAAAGAAAGTATAGATGGAAAAATGAAGACATTTAATAGCCAAGCCATCTAATAGGAATTATACAATTTTTTTACTTGCTTGATGACAAGTTCAGAATTCAGAGTTGGTGTGAAGTTGACATGTAGCCTAGAGGGCGGGTGGAGGGGACAACAGAAGGATTTGGTCTCTTTAAAGTTTTTGTTTACTGCCTGTCTGGAGCTTTGACAAAGCTCTGTCATGCCCTTATGCTGATTACCTTCATGTAGAACAAGAAGTATTGACTAATGAATGAATGATGTGCAGTCCCTAACCCTTCCAGAGCAGCCTTAAAGAGCACTGTCTTTAATACACACATTCTTCTTTCTCTCTCTCCCCACTGCAGGCTTCTCTGCAGAATGTCAAGCAAAGATCGACACATTGATTCCAGCTGTTCGTCGTACATCAAGACGGAACCATCGAGCCCCGCCTCTCTGACGGACAGCATCAACCACCACAGCCCCGGTGGCTCCTCCGACGCCAGCGGGAGCTACAGTTCCACCATGAATGGACATCAGAACGGGCTGGACTCGCCTCCCCTCTACCCCTCGGCCACAGGGCTCGGGGGCAACGGGCCAGTCAGGAAACGGTATGATGACTGCTCCAGTACAATCGCTGAAGACTCACAGACCAAGTGTGAATACATGCTGAACTCCATGCCCAAAAGACTGTGTTTGGTGTGCGGTGACATTGCATCAGGGTACCACTATGGAGTGGCCTCCTGCGAGGCCTGCAAGGCTTTCTTCAAGAGGACGATTCAAGGTTGGTTATTTGTTAATCTTCCTTTCTTTTGCTCAGAATGAAAAAGTATAGTCTTTGGCTGAAGCCTGTTAGGACTTCAGACTGTTCATTTTCATTCTTTGTACTGCTTGGCCCTGCAGATGTTGCTCATGAAGAGCCCCTTTGGGCTTCTTTGGGAGTTCTGTCACGTTTAGCCCGATGTCATGTTTATTTTGATTCCAAAAAATAGAAAAATGCTGGAGTTAACCAGTGGATGTTCACATTTGTTTTCTCCGAGGGTTTGTCTGGATTCCCATAAGTGATTGTTGCAAAGAAAATGGAGCATTTTCTGAAGGTTGTCATGGATGCCTCTTGAACACACCTTGTGGCTGGCACGTAGGATCATGCTTGTGTCTTGCTCCTAGATATGCCACTACTGTACTTAAATTGTTACAGAAATCTAGTTTATATTTGTTGAAGAACCAGTGCATGTGAAATTGGAACAAAAATGCAGTGGTGTAGTGCTTTGTGCACATCAGTGTATTGATAACTGGTCTTTCACCCACTGTATACAGTGGCCTTAAATGAGTTTGTCAGATAACTGTAAGATCACATTCTAAGGAGAGTAAGTTGGCAGCTTTTGGTCTCTGCTCAGTATTTTTTACTAATCTGCTCTTGATACTTATTACAAATATGCCACATATTTTGGCATAAATTAGTACAAATGGGAAAATTTACATGACTGCTTCTTCTAGCTTCAGAACCTATGGAGACAAAATAACCTTCTACTTTGATTTAGATATCATCCATTCAAGTAAAATTGAAGGTGCATTATTTAAAGAACATGAGGCCAAGCTTGGCCTGTGCAGGAATATAGTGTCACATTAAATTAAACTCAGACTTCAGAGACTAAAATTAGGTTGCTAAGTCCAAATTTAAGCTCCTCAATAAAACCTGCTTGATTTTCATACATGTTGAGCACCTGAAATTCTCAGGAAAGGCAATGCAATCCGGTGATATACTTTTCTTTTTGAGAATGAACATAAGGTGAGCTTCAGTTTGTAAATTCACATAACTCCAAATTAAAAAACATTTGGTCTTTAGTGCTTCCATATTTAATGTAAAATTAGTAAGGAAAAATAATGATTGTTAATTTGATTTATATATTGCTGAGGCAGTGGCTATTTTATTCTTTCTTTTCCATTTTGCTGCTGGGGAGATTTGGGCCTTTTACCAGCATGAAGTGCCCATTTTATGAGGGCCATACAGACACTAAAATGAAACATTGTACTTCAGTTGTTCTAATGGAGCTGAATGTTACACTGTTGGCAACCAGTAAACAAAGAATCATAGTGGTGGCCTGGGTTTTTATGTAAAATAAGCACGTGTACAGAGACAGTTCACTCATTTCAAGTCTCTGTACTGGAAAAAGTAAAAAGAAATAAAATAAAGAAGAGGTAGGTGATTTCACTTGACCTTCAACAACATATTCAGAATAGCTCAAAAAATGTTTCTACTGAAGCAATTTGTATTTTGTGGTTGCTAAACTTCAAGCACCCTTTTCAACTAGCAACTCTGTTTTTTAAATGGTATTTAATTGCTGTGTAATAGCTGTCCTACAGGACTGAATTGATGCACAGTTATTTTAGTTGCATTTTGAACACCAAAAAAACTGCTACAGAAACAAAAACTGATTGAAGTATTGACTTCTGGCAGTAAAAGGTAACCTGCAATTTTACACCGCACCACAGACAGAAAGTTTCTGGGCATGGGAGCACAAGGCAGAGACGTCATCCTCCAGATTAGCAACCTGGACTTGGCCACGCAGCTCAAGTTAGAACTGGCAGCTGTGCAAAATCTCAGTGCGGTTAGAGCACGAGCTGCATCAGCAGGTGACAGTGCTCTGAAGACCAAAAAAAAAAAATGCAGCAGGGCAAAACCAAGCATTGAAAAGAAAAGCCATAATGAAGAAACTAAGAATAGGAAGTATGTTACCTATCATAATGTCATGGCAGCATCTTTAGCAGTGGTCCTGACTAAACAGGCAAAAACACTGAGAGTTTTCAGGTACCAGCCAAAATAATGGAAGCTACTTGGGTGCATCAAACCATGGATTTTGGTAGGTGGCAAAATGTATATAAGAAAAAGGTGCTTCCTCATGATTTGAATGGGAAAATTCTACCTTTAGGCTTGCATGAAGAATAATTCCCCTGAGGTTTTTTGTTCTAATTGATAGAATTTAGTTCCAGTGCTCTGGAGGTCATTCTTCCCTGCACTGTTTCATTTCCTTGTTCATATAATGTTCCTTCTCTGCTTATTTTTTAAATTAGTTTGTTGCTGCATTATTACAAATAAGAAAACAGGAAAACAGAAATAAATGCAACAGGCTTTGAAATACAGAATAGAAAACCAGGCTGCCTGAAGTGTCAAATATTGTAACTGTGCATATATAGGGATAGCATGTTTCAGCTCAAAGAATTGCTTTTTAAATGCTAATAGCCTAATTGTGATGGGTACTTCATTATAGATTCCATGAAAAAGAGCACACGACTTCCCAAACCCTTGTTGATCATCCATCAGTTTACTAAATTAGCTCAGGCTTGTAGATTGTCAGTGCTATTCCTGTTGAAATCATGGGCACAACTGCCCTGACTTCAGGGAGAGGAAGGCTGAGCTCATAAAATCAGATTATGAAGCACATCCCGTGTTCATGTAAGGCCTGATGTCCTTTCCACTGAGTCAATGGAAGTCTTTCCATTCCAGAGGAGTCTCTTGAGGTCTCAGTAGGTGGCGGCCACAGAGGTGGCAGCTTCTCAGAGAGCCAGCGCACTTATTTGTGCACCACCAGCATCTCACACGAGACAGAAGCATCACAGGGCACCTAGTAGCTCCTACATAAGGCAAATATCACTCTAATGTAGAGTATACACTTGTTTTTAAGGGTAATGGAGATTGTCATTCCCTTTTCAATTTAGCAATTTAGTCTAAAAAACATCCATTCCTGCCTCCTGGAATCAATTCCTGCTCCTTTCCTTAAACATTAAGAACTTAAATGAACCCTGTTTTGATGTATAAGAAAGAGTAATTTTGTCTTTTTAGAATATATATTTATAACATACCCCAAAAGTTCATTTGCAGTTTTTGTAAAGCGTGCATAATTATGATAAAAAATCAATAATATTAGAAAAAATTAGAAACAAGCAATTTCCTGGCTAAAAAAAATGAAAGAGAACAAATCCACCAAAAAAGAGCTCAATATATAAAATTGATGTCTTCTTAGGTCATAGTAGAATGCAGTGATGTTCTGCCCCTAGATATAAGGTGTGGAAGAACTGGATGTTCTCTCTGCTCAGCCTAGCACTCACTCAGCTGCAGCTCTCAGTTTGCTTCTGGGATAATTTACATGGTGGCTGATTGCAAGTGTCTCACAGAAATACACACACAGCCAAATCTTCCCAAAATTGGCTTAACGTCAGGGATAGTAGAAAATAGCAGCATCTAAAAATAGTTACAGGTCTATTGATTTTTAGGGTCTCTTCGAAGTTTTTGCTGTGCACTGTATTATCTTGAAAACTCCGAGCTTTCATTAAAAGAAAGAGGGGGGAAAAAAGATTTTTCACTTGTCAGCTGGGTGCAAAGTCTTGTGTTCAACATAGAGGTCTTGTACTTGATAGGTATTTGGTAGTGAATATTTACTGTAAATATATTTCTCATATTTTTTATTTGGTCAGTTATCATATATACTAGTAAGTACACATTTTCATTAATATTATGTAATTACTCAGTGTTCATAACTTAAACATTTCAGCAGGTGGATTGAACTGGTATTCTTGCTTTTAGGAGTGGGTTGCTAGGACTTACAGGTTCAAAGACAGTTTATTATCCTGTTTTATGTTAGATTTTATCTCTCTAAAATAATGGCCTGCATCTAGAAGACTTTCATCCTCCCTCCTTCCAAATTGTCTAGACTGTTGTCTTTGGACTCTTTAAACGAGCCTGAAAAGACAGGCTGTAAAGCCTGTACATTCCTCCTAAGGCTTCTCACAAGGCTTCTCTCAGATCTTACTTATCATTTCCTTGAATACTGTTTGAATTTTCCCCACAAAAGCTAAATATTTTGCATTCAGTGGTCTTTGTTCTTGAATTTTTACTTTTTTGGGGTTTTTTTTAATATGTTTATTTTTTGAGGAAGAACTGCTGGATGAACAGTAGTGAGGCATCAATGTTCTGTGTATCCACAGGATGAGTAAAGCAGTAGTTGGTAAGAAGCCCTGCAGTCAGACCCTCACTGTCTCATCATTTAAGAGCTTCATCGCTGAGAGCTGCTGCCTGTCCGTGTCTCCTAACGCAAACAGGAAATACTCCATCCTTGAAATGCTGTTGTCTTCTGCTGTCTCATTTTATGCTGCTCACCTAAGAGTCTTCAGCTCCCCAGTTCTGCAGGGATGTTCCTGTTGCCTTCAAAGCCTGCCCAAACTGCTTTGTACTTTGTTCAGCTCTTTGGTTACTCAGAGTTGTTTTTAATCCCTCTAATGTTCAGGTTTGTCACTCCTCTTTAGAGTGTTGACCCATTATTGAGCCAGTTTGATCTGTAAATGTACAAACACTTTACAGTAAATACATTTTTATTTTTCAATCAAGACGTTTTAATCAAGAAAGATAGAACTGGCTATGTACATTCAGATAAGGCAACATAAAGTTTGATTTGAAGTTGCACGTGACTGAAGTGGCTTCCAAAGCATATTTTGCATTTCTGAAAGCTGTCTTCTGTAATACGTTTTTGAGGAGGAAATGAAAGAAAATTAAACAAGATTTGGTGGCTTTTCAGCTTCTTTGCTGATAGCTAAGATTATTGTTGTTTTATAGAAGCGTAGGGTGGAGGCTCACATCTCAGTGCACTGGCCTGTGGACCTTGGCTCTGGTGCAAAGATGGCAGCCCTCCAGTGAGCCGAACACTAAATGTCACCTGAATCCATCATTACCTGATTTAATCATTCACCTTCCTTATATAAGTGAAAGTCTGTGCATCAGCACTTCTTTCA